AGTTATCCTGCAATATGCTTAATTTGTTTTTGCCTGTCAAAACAAAAATGTATCTTGGAAACAAAATTCAGCATGCAGCTTAAAAATCAGAAGACTGGAAAAAAATTAAGACAAGTGTCTTTCTTGCTTCCTAGTTTCATCTATTTTTGTTTCTCTATATTTAAGCTTCTTTCAACGTCTATTGCAGCTAGCATTTGTCGGGACACTCACAGAGAAAGAAAAATAGATTTATGTAATTAATTAACTATGAACATGCTGCCTACTCACCAGACTCTAGATATTTCTCAGTGTTCCTAAAATGTGGGTGAACAGTACAAAAATGAGTTTGACATCCATATATGAATCTGTAACCTGTTTAATAATTACTATGTAAAGCATAGAATTCCTGGCAAGACTAGATCCCGTGGCATCAAATGATGAGCAGCTAAGATTATGAGACCTGGAAATGTATCCGGCCATGCTACTGGAGTGGATGAAAAGAACTCAGTACTGTACCAGGAGGAACAGAGTCTCCACTCATGGTATAGGATAGTGTTTCTCAATCTCAACAACTTTAAGATAAGTGGACTGGCTGGGGGGATTCTGGGAGTTGAAGTCCACACATCTTAAAGTCGCTGAGATTGAGAAACATTGGTATAAGGTGACCAGTTTCTAGTTTTGTATAGACTGAAAGCTAGCTGAATTTACACAGCACTGCTGAATTTCTGCAGCACTTATTAGTTAGCCATCAGATTTTTGTGGCAGCCACATTGTCTTCTACAGAGCAAAGTGGGTGCATGGGGATAGGGAATTGAATCTTCTCTTCCCAACAGTATCTTCCAATTTCTATTGTTAGAATCCTAATGAGAGAAAGTGACATTGTGAGAGAGACGGGGGGATATTGTACACACATGCCACACTCCTAAAAATGCCCTCCCCTCTTTCATATACTGTGAAACACAGGCAGTTTTAAATAAACAGATCTCTTATTGCTGTCACATGGAATTTAAACTCCTGAACTCATGCCATGCATGGAAACAAAAAAGATCTGCAAAACTTCATATAAAAGATGCAAAAATAAAGACAAATTCTGGAAAAACTCACATCTGACTTCAGGAAACTTGGATTTGGCTTTTATGTAAGGCACAGTGAAATGCTAGAGAGCAGTAGTAAGATCTTAGAAGGCAGAGCTGTGGGTAACCCTGCATTCAGTAACTTGTTGCTTTCAAATGCACAAGAAGATCCTGTCCCACAATGAAACTTGAAAAGATACAATGGCCCAGCCAGCCAGCATCTATTTGGGATGAAGCTGGGAGCAACTAGTATCTTAATTGCTTGAAGCAGCAAAACCTGTGGCAACTGAACATGTTTCTGGAGAAACAAGCAAATGTTGGCTTTGTATAAATTATTTTGCTCACCTAATTAAAAATACTTTGGTGCCAAATTGTTCAGTTAACTTTGTCATATTACAAGTTCTAAGGAAAGATTTGCAATTTCAGTAGCATGTATGTTTTAATGTGCCAATACCGCTCCCTAGTGAACCTACAGAAATGCAATAGCTAAAATTCTCTTCCCTCCCTTGCTCTAGGCTTTTTCCCACAGTACAGCCATCCACTTTAAAGAATTACGCTCTGGCTAGATGCCAAGCATTCAGCTTAATCTATAATGATTAAAGTATTATACTATCAACACTTGAGTCAGAACATGGCTTAGCTGCTCTTATCAAACAACCTTGCAAATAAAGTTACCAGGTATCTTTGATTACTGTTAATCTCTCTCTGTGAGTACACACGCACACACACAAACATATGTAAACACTGAATTCAGCAAAAGAGAACAATCTTAAAAAGAGATGGAATCCAACTATAGATCTATTCAATATATATTTAATAATGTGAGCTTACAACTGTCCAGTTTTTTGTTGTTGTTTTTTTGCCCAAAAAGCAGCCCCATCACTATGGATCCAACTGATTCAAGATGTGATCCAGATTTTCTGTCCAAAAATCACTCTTGACTAAAACAATTGTGAAGTGGCTATATACTGTAGTGATGGCGCTCAAAAACTGTTGGGTTTGAACATAATACAGGCATGCTTAATTTCTGGTGTGAATAAACATATATCCTGGATATTTTATACTGTCCTCCTCTGTCTATGATAACAAATTATTTAATTAAAAAAAAACAATGAACAGATATACTTGTACAGTATACAGTAGGTAGATCCCAGGTTAAGAACACCCAGTTTAAGGATGACACATTTACAAATGGAGCCTACTATAGCAAAATTTTAGTTACACACACAATGGTTCATGTTCATTACCCAATACTACTTATACAATATTATACAATAATACTGTTCTGGCTTACATACAAATTCGACTTAAGGACAGACCTTGGGAATGGAACTCATTCTCAAACTGGGGACTACCTGTATTCTATACTGGATAGTTTAATCATACTTCTCATTTGAAGAATTTTCTTTTCACAGCTGTGGTTGAGTATATAGAAAAGGGTGCGGATTGACCAATGGTTCATGTTCATTACCCAATACTACTTATACAATATTATACAATAATACTGTTCTGGCTTACATACAAATTCGACTTAAGGACAGACCTTGGGAATGGAACTCATTCTCAAACTGGGGACTACCTGTATTCTATACTGGATAGTTTAATCATACTTCTCATTTGAAGAATTTTCTTTTCACAGCTGTGGTTGAGTATATAGAAAAGGGTGCGGATTGACATACTTAAAATTGAGAGATTTTTTCTGGAAATGGATACAACAAACAGGAAAAAGATTTCTATTACAGAATTCATTTTAAAGCTAGAAATAATTTTTGGATTCAGTTATCTGGTAAAGTAAAGCCAGGCAATTCCAAAGTCACACTTATACATATACATTAAGCAAACTTATTAAGGAAATACATTACCCTAATTAAAGTTTCCAGATGTGCTATGTTTTAACAAATATTCCTTACTTCACAGAATACTCCCATATGAAATGTGATACCCTATATGAAATAAAGACAAAGCAGATTTAACTCAAAAGTGCTATATGAAAATCTGTAAAGAAAATGGTGAATGTGCAGTATTATTTCATTGCACAGAAACATACTGATTTTGGAAAGTAGGTTTTGTCTACAGAATTCCTCCAAATAACATAAAATAATGATGTTTTGGGATTCCCAACTGTGGTTCCTCTGTTTCTGGAATTCTGACCTGGCACTTCTGAACTCAAGATACTAACTTGTGAGCTACTCAGGTTTCCACACCTGTTTATGGTGCCACAATGAACACATATGACTTCAGCAGCTTGAGACACAAGAAAAAATATATAGCCTATATTGCTTTTACAGATCCCAGTCAGCTATGTAGTTTGGGTAGAAAACTACTACAGCTGTCATGCCACCTCAGAGCAAGATCTAGAACTGCTTGAGAAAGAAGACTGTGAACACCCAGCTACTGAAGCAAACAGGATTTCTATTCTCTTGAGGAAAGTTCTTTCAGACTGATTTCATCAGGCTGCAAAGATTTTTCTTCTGATTCAGTTGATCCACCACCCAGCCTTAAGAAATAATTGGTTAACAGAAAGTGCAAACTCAGGTGACAGCCAGGTAAAGGACAGACTCTCAGAGAAACAGAACTTCATGTTCATGAGTAAGTCATTTAAATGAGCAGAAAAACTTGGCTACCTGATAATTGAGCCTTGAGTGGGGCTCTGGGAATTCAAGCTTTAAACAGCCTTCAATTACTGTCTCCTGGAGCAACATCTGCGTACTAGGTCTACTTGTTGCTCATACTTCACTCTCCACCTGTTACTCTGATGAATTCACTGTTTCATCTGTGACTTCACTTGGAGTCTGTTTCTAACTGCTTGTTACTTAATTCAGCATGACTGCTATTTTAGGCTTGGTTTCTGCTAAACCAGTCAACCTTCATCCTAAGCAGAATGTGGTATATTCTGGATATTTGAAGTGCAATCTTCAACTTCAACCTTTTATCCTACTTAACAAGCAATCTCAGGAAAAGTTTAGAGGCTCTTTTTGTCTCAGAGTGACAAAACCTTTCAATGCCAAACTTAAAAGGACCTCCATTGTGCAAAGCTTTCCAATTTCCCCCCAAAATGGAAGCAGAAACCTTCATTTTTAAAGGTTTATGCTTCCTGTTTAAAATTCCAAGATAGTGGAGCATATTACCTCAAGAACAACAAGAGAATGAAAATGCTGTAACATTTCATGTCTTTCCAAAATATTTTTCCAGCAGCAGGGAGAGTAAATGGCCAACTGACACAATGTCTTAAGCAAAAGAGAGTACAATCCTCTCCTGTGGTCCCATGAGGGCATGACTTTGGGGAAGTTCCCAAAACCCCACTCAACAGAATGAGTGGGAGGAAATGTGCCAACCAAGAAAGTTGATTACTACATTTTAAAATGAAGCAGCGCATAGCACCTATTGTACCACCTGTCAGGCCTTTACCCTACTGACCTCAGAAAAACAAATCCTCATATAAGAAAATGTGACTGTGAGGCAAACGCTGCAGTCCTCCACAATTCTACTATGTGAATGAGCAAAGGAAGCTCAGAAGGTAATATAACAAATTAATGTCACTTGAAGATTTGCTCTGGGAATAGGAAGAGTTATGCCTGGGGTCTGGTAGAAGATGAGGGAAAGAATTACTCACCTACAACTGCAATATCATAATTAATTTTTGACTTTGTTCCTCCCTACTCCACCCTCAGCATAACAAACACCCTCGGGGCACCAAACTGCAAATGGACACAGGTTGAATTAAATGCTAATGGGGAGGGGGGAGGAGGAGAAAACCAGTCGTAGTTTACATCTGCTGAGCAGACAAAAAAAAAAAAATTTCACCAGAGGTAGGAGGAATTACAGAAGCAACACCCTAATGATGCTATACAGTATAAAAGACAGAGGAAACTGCCCCGTTAGCATACTCTCTGCCTGCCCTTTGACTCTGCCTGTTATATTTCAGCAATTTCACATCACTGAGCTGCAATGTCTCTTCGAATTTCTACTGCGTCTAGGAAAATTTCTTCCTATGACGGAGGTGCTAAGATGGCAGGCATTGGTGGAGGCAGTCTGTATGGCTTTGGTGGGGGCTCTATGACAGGGCTAGGCAGTGGCTATGGAGGGGGTATATGCAGTGGCTTCGGTGGATCTGGATTTGGTGGCGGCGGCGGCACCGGCTACTGCGGTGCTGGCTTTGGCAGTGCCTCTGCGGCAGGTGGTGCTTACGGAGCAAACTATCGCTCCAGCTCATCTGCTGCCATGAGTGGGGGCTACGGAGCTGGTGACAGTGTCTTTTTGGCTGGTGCTGAGAAGGAAACCATGCAGAACTTAAATAGCCGCCTGGCAAACTACCTGGAAAAGGTGCGCTCCCTGGAGGAGGCCAATACTGAGCTTGAGCGTAAAATTCGCCACTGGTATGAGAAAAACGGACCTGGGGCACCTGGAGTGTCCCGTGATTACAGCAAGTATTTTCATATAATTGACGATCTCCGCAACCAGGTAAGAAAGCAAACATTCTCTAAGATTCGGTCTATTCCCTGAATAGAAACATCTCTTAGAAAACCTCACTGAAATTATTGGAACCCACACAAGTTCCAATACTCCATAAAGTATGAGTTCTTGTATGTAGCTTCTTATTCTTGTGCAACTAACATTTTCTCTCATTTCTATAAGAATACAAAATAAATTAAGGATTCTACCTTTGCCAATACTGCAATGGGCGGCTCCCATGACAGCTAATATCTCTATCAATGTCTACTAAATATGTCTACTAAAGATATCCAGAAATATCTAACATAAATGGGAGTGGGGGAAGAATTCCAGTTCAACCGAAAAAAATTCTTATCTCAATGGAACCATTTAATTAATAGAATCCCATGTGAAATTGTTGATGCTTAATACACATGAAGGGAAGCACTTGAATTCAAACAGAATTGATAACATTATCATAAATATACAGATCATATGACAAAAATAATTTAAAATGCAATTATTTATGTAAAAATTGGTTTAAAAACAAACTTTGCCTATCTACACTTCGTATTTGAAGTAGGAAAAGGTTTTAAACAATGTATGGAATACAGTAATTTTGGAAAAAATAAGATACAATTCCATACTCACTTAGCTGTGGGTAAGCCTGTTGAAGGAATTGTTTCTATTCTGAGCAAATAAATAAAACTGCATTTCAAGGTATCATTTTTCTCCAGCACATTCTCTATTAGCAATCCCTCATTATATAAAATATCTTAGTAAAATAATAACTAGACAGTATTTTCTACTAGCACGTGCATTTACTATTGGTTTGTAAGTGGAAATGTATCAATAAATGATGTTCTTTTCAGATTATGAACATGACCACTGAGAATGCCAATATAGTCTTACAGATTGACAATGCCAGGCTTGCTGCTGATGATTTCCGACTGAAGTAAGTTGAATACATTTTTCAGTTTTGAAATTCCTGAGATGAGCTGGTTTACAAGTCTTACTTCTCAGACCCATTATCAACACCTTTACTGACTCCATCTATCTGCTCTAATAACTTGAACAACAACAAATCCCACCAAGCCAACCTCTTGAAAACCATGCTGTCCTTTCCTGAAGATCATTCAACCTTTATTTGGAAAGGACTTTTTTTCAAGATTGTAAGCAGCTTGTTCTGTTTCTAAACCACTAAGTATTGGGACAGAATTAGTGGAGGTGAAATGAAAAAAAATGAAGATGCAGAATAGGATGCAGTATATTAGTGACTTTTCAGGGGCACCAGAAGCTGTATTAGGAAGCAGCAAGAAGGAAATTTTCCTTCTTTGAACTTCCTTAAATTAGCTTAAATTAAGTTCCAAGTCAATACTTTGAATTTGCAAAGTGCTTTCCAGTTCTAATTTTGACTTTTAATTGGTAAATTGAGCTGTTTGCTTATATTTTTTGATAACTTAATGTGTTTCCCCCAGATTTGAAAATGAGCTCTTCCTTCGCCAGAGTGTTGAAAGCGACATCAATGGTCTGCGCAGAGTACTTGATGATCTCACCATGAATCGCTCTGACCTAGAAGCACAGCTTGAAAGTCTCACAGAGGAACTGGCATATCTTAAGAAGAATCATGATGAGGTAAAGGACTTCTTTGGTTTCCATCCTAATATACAGAACTGACTGCATGGATATCAAATGCAGCAAAAAGAGAACCTGAATTTTGTTGAGTCTTAACCTACTAAACCAACCCTTTTCAACTCATAGTTGTAACCTTCCAAATATGAGACTACAATTCTCAAACTCTTTGCCAGAGCTGGTTGGGAATTCTAGGAGTTGTAGTCTAAGACATCTCAAGAACCCCAAATTAGAGACAATGCAGGTAACTTACAATTTAGCATGATATCTGAATTAGGACACTGGGAGCCTGCAGAATGCAAGACAGGTGTCTAGTGCTATCCATAGAATGTTCAGTTGGGACATGGGAAGACTCCAGTTTGAATATCTTATCCATGACATTTACTTGGTAACCATAGCAGGTAATTTTCACTCAATCATCCTCAAACTTATCTCTCTGACTATTCAGCTTGAATGGTTCACCTAAACCCTCAACAACGTAATAATATTTAAACAGAATACTAGTGCTAACATAATTTGTTATCATCATTTATCAATTAGACTGGTTTATTTTAACAATCAGAGATTGTACCATTACATTTAGTAGCATCAATGAAAAGAGAGTAGTTCTATCATTTTCCTTCAGTCTTTAATCACATTTGTTATAACATTATGAAAAGCCCACCTGAGCAGGAAAAAAAAATCCATATTAAGGAATCCAGCTGAACTGTCAGCAGATAATACTCTTATCAAAATTACGGAGTTTAGTTGTGTCATCATTTAATTAGTAGTGTACTACCATCTTCTGCCTGTGTGATACAAAATTATTACGCAAGACAGATTGGGGCTGGGCTTTGTAGCTTGGATTGTAAATTCCTCCAAGTATCAATTAGCAAATCATTATCTAACACTTCCAGATAAAGCTGGAATATTTAGGCCATTCCCAGAGGACAAGCTCAGCCCTCATCAAAATCTGGCAAACACTGGGTTAAAGGCACTGAGATGAGTCTCCATATGTCTAACTTCAACAATTCATAGCAATTTTTGATTGGAGGGATAAGGCTGGGGTGTGTTGCTAAACAAACTAATGATTTAACACCTTTCCTCAATGTGCTCAAAGACAATTCTTTCTACCTTTTCACTGGTTTCTCTTCCCTGTACATTTGAGTATACATGGATCTGGAATTAATAAAAATCTTTCACATGCACCCCACCCAGAAAACAAATCTAAAAACTTCTCTCTCACTGTCCCTGATCCAGCTATTTGTTACTGTGAATAAAATACAGTAATACCCTTTTCAGCCTAGGCAGCCAGTTACTTGAAAGGTAAGTTAGGTGGTTTACTTCATACAAAGCAGCTTTGGCATGTAGAAACCCAAAGGAGCAGAAACTGGCGTGAATTCCCGTCACAAGCATTGCATGAGAAGCGTATGAAATGTCCCAAGGCTGAAATGATTATGAGCTGAGACAAGTTACTAAGGAAAAAACCAAACTGTCTTCAGTTCAAAAAAGCAACATTGATACTGAAAAAATTAGAATGATTCTCTTCTGATTACACTGAAGTATAACTGAGGTTGGGGAGTACCCCATGCCACTGCTAGAACAAAAAACAGGAAAAATTCCTAGTCTAGAACAAATATAAGTAACACTGGGTGTACACTCCACTTTTGGAACCCCCTACGTTAACTTAGTACCCCAATGCTTGATAGATGCTCCAAAGCCAGGCAAGAAGAATGGATCCATTCCAAAGCCCCAAGGCAAGACTCAAAGAGATACACATCATTTTCCATGTTGTTGTCCCGGGGATCCTTCCAACAAATATATTAAGAATAATTTATCAACATCTAGAAATGCCAAACCTTCACTTAGAGAGACGTGAAAAGATGCACCTTAAAATTATCTACATAATTGCAAACTCAAACTTGAGTTTGCAATTAAAATTGCACCTTAAAATTATCTACATAATTGCAAACCACTTGAGTTGATTTAGTCTGGTAGTGCTTGCACCGAAAGAGCTACATTTGTCTGCTTTTGCTCTCCACCTAATAAGACCTACAGTAGATACAAATCAACAGAGGGATGAACAGGGGTTCTGTGGCTCTTCCTATTCTTCATCTCTCAGCAAGAGGCACTGCTTTACAATGGCTTCATTCCTGTTTCTCAGGTAGATTTCAGAAAGCACCACAACATTTCACTGGTTCTGAAATGTACAAGTAATGTGCTTCCAATTTTCATATTCAGGAAATGACTTTACTGAGGAGCAGTTCTACAGGGGACGTCACAGTGGAAATGAATGCTGCTCCAGGAATAGACTTGACTAAGCTACTAAATGACATGAGAGCACAATATGAAGACCTTGCAGAACAAAACCGTAGAGAAGCGGAAGAACAATTCATCAAAATGGTAAGATGTCCTGCACCCCAACTAATTTTTTCAAACTCAAGTCTCTTCCAACTGCACCAAAAATGTCAGTTTGGTAATTCACAAAAACTATTGTATATGTTGAAATAGTTTAAAACTCAGCTCTTTAAAAGAATAAAATACCCTACTCCCAAGAAAGTCCCCTTAAACCCCAGAAAATTCTGATCCCACTCATGTATGTTATAGTCCACCTATATTACATTAATGCTGCAGGCACTATGGCTGTTGTGCACCCAAATTAAAAGCAGCCTCCCCCCTCCCCCCAGTATTGCCCACTCTCACTCTATATGCTGTTTCCAAGTTATATTTTATTGAACTTTTCCCTCCTTCCAGAGCCAACCGCTGCAGCAACAGATCCATGATGATGCCGGCGCTGCAAACACAGCCAGAAATGAATTAATAGAACTGAAACGAAGTCTTCAGTCCCTGGAAATTGAATTACAATCCCTTTTGGCAAAGGTTTGTTTTTGCTTCCTTTCCCTCCAAACAGCATGAAATCAAAAGAAATTTCTGCTTCTCTTGTCTGAAAAAGACTTACCTTTTGTTTTCAGAAAACTTGGTTTACAAATTCAAAGTGAAGGAGGAGTTACAGGCCTCTATCTGAAAGTACATTCCCAAGGCTGCACTGATCCAAATTCAGAATTCAGGCCTCAAATCACAATTTAGGATGCCCATAAATTATAGCAGCCTACATTTCCTTGCTGGCTTAAAAGGGGATGACTTTCACTGACCTGAGACTAGCATGGAAACAATGACAATTAGCTTCTAGCCAGGCTACCACAATTTTTTTTAATGGCTAGTAACTTCTGCGGGGTTGTTTATAAGGCTGAAAAAAGTTATAGGCACAATATAGATTGTATTTATGTTTGTTGTGCCAAAAACGAAACAAAAATCTGTACGTGGTTAGCAATCCCAGTCACAAAATGCAGAGAGATTTGGGGTGGAAGGTGGAGAAATAATGCTGAGAGATCATAATCATTTCGCCTCCATGTGTGTATGTCTCCAACTAACAGAAAGCCTCCCTGGAAGGAACCTTGGCAGAAACTGAAGGGAACTACAGCACTCAGCTTTCCCAGTTACAACTTCAAGTCAGTAGCCTAGAGGAACAGCTACAGCAGATCAGGTCTGAAACAGAGTGCCAAAATTCAGAGTATCAGCAATTGCTGGGCATCAAGATCAGACTGGAAATGGAAATTGAAACATATAGACGTCTGCTAGATGGGGAAAGGTAAGTAAATATCTCTTAAAACTGGATGAGGCAATGATTATACAATGAAACTGAATGGTGGTAGATTCAGGTTGAAGGTATTTATTAACACATATCTGCTACTGCATTCACCTTCTGTTGTGGATTTTTCACAATCATGTTCTTTGTCACTGCAAGAAGGAAAACACTGTACTAGATAGGTACCATATTGGATCAGACCAAAAGCCTATGTTTTTAGAAAGCAAGCTAGAAATAGGAGCTAAATATTCCCATCAGAGGAAAGGAATCTGTGTGTTCAACCATAAAGTCTCTTACTATACATTTGTTGATGTGTTGATAAGAAATGCAGGACAGAAGTTTGGTCTTCCTGATACGCAGATCAATCCTAGTGTATAAGAAAGAGCTTTATTTTAAAATAGAATGAAGGTATTTTCACACACCTACACTGACAGTGAATATGCAGACAGATAGTATGTTGCAAACTGAAGACACATTCTAGGAAATCTGCCCTCACTGGAATTTACTTCTGAATAAATGAACACTGGATTATGTTTTAAACCGTTTTCTACTTTCTTTTTCTGTTTGAATTTGATTATGCTTGCAAACCATTCCAATTTCATTTTCCCTCTAAGTTCTTCTTCTTATTTTTAGACAACAGAATCATGGAATATATTTATCATGTATCAGAAACACATGTAAAGCAAAATAAAATAATGCTTTCATTTAAAAAATATTAAAGCAAACTATTAAGCATCTCTTGGAGTTATTTTTATTTCCTTATTTATTGATTGCTCCTGCTATTTATTCTCTAATTTTACCAAATAACAAGTGACATTCACATTAGTGGTCTCTGGGGAACCAAGCAAGACTAATTTCAAAATCTCCACATTAAAAAAGTAAAATAGGAATCTAATTTGCATGTACAACATTCTCTTGCACTGTCTAGAAACTCATAGAGCATCCATAAATGATTAATTTACCGCATTTCCTTTTGAAAAAAAACCCCACATCTCAAAGGCTCTGATCTGCTGAACATCATTACCTAACTGATTTAGTTGACTTCAAATATTTTATACATAGGAATAACACACAATTAGAATTATAAGATGCATGACACAGAATATGGGTCTCTCTCTCTCTTTACTCAGATCTTTATTGCTCTCAATCTTTTTTTAAAAAAATTCAGATAAGCATTGCAATATTATTAATACTATGTTCTTTGTTAACAGTCTCCGTACCGCATACGAGACAAAAGTTCATATCAGAGGTAATTATAATCCTATTCTTTTAGAAATATACTGTTTTGTATTTGTATTTACACTTGGTATATTTAAAAATGTATCACACAAAATTGAATATAATTCTTTATGAACAATTTCAATTCATAAAATGAAATACATGGGTTTAATTATCTTTAACTCCTCCAGTGACCTAAATTCCACCTGATAGCTCAGACGCAGATCTGATGACCTCCAGATGTACTGGATTACATTTCTCAGAATATCCAGCTAGGATAATCAAAAGCTAGACTAGCCAGGAATTCTGAAAGTTGAATGTTAACATGTCTGAAGGACAGTAGACTAAGAAAAGTCATTTTAAATCCTTGGCTGTTCCATTCATATCCAAATTGTATGTTTGCCTGCTACTTTTAAAATCTGCTGGACCAGTATCACAGTCTAAGCTGCCATCAGGACTTTGAACTATGAAGCATCGACCAAAAGTAGCAGGTGCATAAGGCAGAGATTGATGATACCAATTTAAGGGGTGAGATGGCCCATTTCACAGCTGACTTGAGTAACATTGGTTTAGTCTCCAAACTCCCACCATTCCCAGCCAGCATGATTAAAATCCATGCTGAATGGAAAGTATGAGTTGAAAAGCAAAGTTGGACATTCTGTAGGGGAATGGTTTATTAGGCTTTTTTGGGGGGAGAAGGGGGATTTGCATTCATTCATGCAGGGCTGCTGAAGATATAGAAAGTGTTAATAGCCAGGAGAAAGAAAAATGTGCAGAATAAATTGGGACATTAAGAGGAAAGTATAAGGGACATTTGTTTTAATAATTTCCAATTATCAGCAGTTAGAAAGCTTGTCACCAAACATAAGTTCAAAAAAAGAGTATTAACCTGATCCATTTGATAGTTTGTATCTTGGAGTCAGTATGGCTATAAATATATTGCCAGTTCTATAAGGCCCATTGACTTACATAATACTGTAACTGGAAAGCAATAGCATATGTGTGTGTTTCGTCCCTAGAAGCTGTCTTTTGCCACTTCATATTGTATTACATTTAAGATCTAGGTGGCTGTTGGAATGATACCTAAAACCTTTGCTCATGTAACTAAAACAGAGTTTTGCAACATATAGCTTTTCAGATTTTCCATATTTGTGTTAATGTGTAATCCCCATGCATATATGGCTCTTCGTCAACTCATTTCAAGCAATTTTCCTCATATAATTATCATTTTATGGTTAAAAGTTTTACTGATTAAGGTGCTGCTTTTAAAAGTTATATTATTAATCAATAACGCTATCATAATTTTCTTTTGTCAGAACCCACCAAAACCAGGGTGGTTAAAACCATTGTGGAAGAATTGGTGGATGGCAAAGTCATCTCTTCCCAAGTGAAATCGGTTGAAGAAAAGACAGCTAAATAAACTGCAAGGAGGAAATCCTTCAAAGCTTGCTTTTAAGCGAAAGCACAGGCAGAAGAAAGCCATTGGAATCAGTTATCAATTTGCAGCTTAGCAGCTTCTTGCTAATAAGGGACAGGGGTTCAAATTTAGTCATACTTACTTAGAGAAGACTCACTGAAATCAAAGAATGATTAAGTATGGAACCAACCCAAGGAATCCGGAAAAATAAATCCTACACAATATGCTTTCTTCTAACTTCAAAATACTGTAGTGAAAACTACATTCTCTTTTCTGCTGCAATACAATAAATCTTCTGTTTGCAAGTTATACCTGCCTTAGATTCTTATGTACATACATTCTGGTTTTCATATTGAATGGATGATTTAAAACGTACTGAAGTTGTACAGTTCTGTAATTATATCAGCATCCCTATAGCTAGTGAATATAAATCACAAGTTTGATAGGGTTCACATTAACAATTTAGCTATCTGCCTGGAGATTTAGTTCAGCTTATTCCTGAAAAAATAAGTAAAGGTTGTGAATGTCATAGAAGAAAGCACTGTGAATATCAATCCAGATTACGCATACAAGAAGAATTGAATACAGTTATCAACAGGAGATTTACAGGCAGAGATGACATGGAACAAAACAGTATTTGAAAATGTGGGTTAATATCTTTGACAATCAGGAGCAAATCAGGGCACAGAAACAACAAAAGATGCAGGAAGTGGAGAATTCTGAAGAATGCGCACTGAGAAAGATGCATTTAAAATTGCTATAGGCTAAATTCCTTACCTATTATTTCCTCAGATGTTAATAACTTTAAGAAATAACAACCATTGTGATTGCTTCATTGCGGGGAACACAGATTTTTTTTTTCCTAAACCCTACCATGATCTGTTGGAACTTGATAGTCTATAGTTCTTTGATGTTCCACTGAACGTGCTTTCCTCTTTCAACTAGCTCTCTCATTCAATTATCAAAAGAACCAGTTGCCCAATGCTTGGGACACAAGGAAGACAGTTCTATCACCATATCAGCATAATTCAGTTTTTGAAAAGTTTTTTTTTTAAAAAAAAAATCCATACAAATTATATGGCCCAAAAGGTAAACATGAAAGATTACTGTATTGTATTTCAGCTCCTATGTTTTCATCAGTACAGTTCTTCCACTTGACCACCTTGATTACTGCATTAATTTTCTCTATGTGAGATTCAGTACCTGCTATGTGCATATCACACTTCTATGCTCTTAAATTCGTGAGAGCATATGTACATATGTGAATATACGTATGAAGGAGTTAGAGTGTAAATATCCTTTTCCTGATATTGAAGACTAAAATTTTTACACACCAGAGCACTTATTCATTAGTTATTAAAAACTGCTATATTTGTTGGTATATGTCAGTGTTGTCCAAACTTGGCCACTTTAAGATGAGTGGACTTCAATTCCCAGAATTCCCCAGCCAGCCATGCTGGCTGGGGAATTCTGGGAGTTGAAGTCCACTCATCTTAAAGTGGCCAAGTTTGGACAACACTGTTATATGTCCATTTCAGACTAACAGACTGAAAGGAGGAGTGTGGTTATGCCCATTGGCTGACTTGTACTTCTCTCACGCACCTCAAAGTAAAGGTGATTATTTTTTTTTTCTTTCCTTTTTTTCTTTTTGTTTGTTGCCTACTAATTTGGGAACTGAGGATAGGGAAATGATTGTCATGATTCACAGATATTATTCATACTTTTTTAAAAAACCACAGAATACTTAACATTTAGCAAAAAATTTAGATGGATTTTAAAGACAAGCACACACCAACACCATACCATAAGCAAAAAAAAAAAGGAAAAAGAAAATAGATGCCTTTGAATTATGGATTTGATCATTAAGAATACCAAAGGCTGCAAGGAGAAATAACAATTTAATCCTTGGCAAAATAAGATTGATTATTCCATTATGTCTCTGATCAGCAAGAAAAACTTAGTTGCTTTGGTTATGTGATATGAGCAAACTAGAAAATGATTATGTTCATGGAGCAACAAATTATTATGTTATAATGCTGGCAGATGGGATTAAGTGATTACTGTAATTTTCTTGAACAAGATCCAAGTTATTACTAAAAACAGGTCATGATAGGAGAGCATTTCTCCATACAATTACATTGAATCAGTGGTACCTAATTAGCTAATTATTAAATATGATGCATAGTTGTAAACCAGAAATAACCATGTAATAAACACAGTTGCCTCCACATCGGTAGCTTTTGAGCTCACATCCAGAAGGCTATGGTATCTCAATTTTATTTGATAACATCTAGTTTGAACAAGCAGTTCAATACCAAATACCATTTTAGCAACATTTACTCAAGAGAAGTTCTGATGAATCTGCATAAACTACGTCATTTTCCAACTTTATAACTTAGAAGTGTCAAATGGACTGATTTAATCTGGGACAATGGAGTTCACATAACAGATTCCCATTTTGGGCCTGAAGTGGCACAAACAGACTGGTCACAGCTTGAATGAATTGAGCACTGTGCTCCTTTTTCAATTTAAAGTGTACTACTACTAACACAGCGAATTTGCTAAGATGGTTTCAATAAAAATATTAAAGCCATCCAAACTAGAATTACATAATCAAAGAATTGGAGACCCATTTAGGCAATCAAATCCAGAAGGCTGTGCAGGACAGGAATCCAAATTAGACCAAGCAGATGACAGACTCGCCTCTGTTTGAACACACCCTAACTCTACCCTAATGATAGGAAGCCTGTCCCCTCTCTGGCTGATCAGTTGCACTATCAAACTGCACTTACTGCTAAAACGTTTCCTGTAAAACTCAGTCAAAAGCTGACTTTCAGTAGCTTAATCCATTATTCCATTCCATGCACTCTGGAACAAGAGAAAACAGGCCTTGGCAGTCTTGACATCCTTCTATGATAGCTACCATAACTCTTCCACCTATTTCTCTGGTTGTCTTTTTTCAAAGTTAAACACACCCAGCTCCTTGAATCTTTTTTTACAGGGCTTAATTTCTTTCCTTTCCTTTTCTTTTAATAAACCTTTTTAGTTAGTTAGTTAGTTATATTAACAAGTTTAAGGAATAAAATAAATGACTACAGAAAAAAGAAGATAGTGAGAAAGGACCTACTGGATGGAAAATAAAATAATAATATCAGTAATAATAATATTATTATGAATAATAATTAATAATAATAATAAGTAAATAATAATGTCAGTAAATAAACAGAGAATTTACAATTGTCATAAAACTTAAAATTCATTATTTCATTGATTTCTAATCCCTGGATCATCCTTGCTAGCCTTTTTTGAACCTGTTCCAATTTCTCTGAATTTTTCTTAAGTATGGTGCTTTGAGTTGGACACAGCTGTAGAAGCAGGATCTGACCAAAACAGAATAAAGGAGATAGAGTACTTGATTTGGAAATTATACTTCTGTTCACTCAGCCTAAAATTGCATTTGCTTTTTGTGTAACCACTCCACACTGCTGACTTATATTCTCACTGCAATCAACTACTATTTTGATCTCTCTTTCACAAGTGTCATTACCAAACCAGGTGTCCCCTACAGTATTTTACACCTGTGCATTTGACTTTTGCCTTCTAAGTGAAGAATTCTGCACTTGTCTGTTAAATTTCATTCTGTTACTTTCAGTCCATTTCTCTAACCTAGCCTATCTCAAATGGTGTTCTGCAGAACCCTAGAATTCTGCAAGAGGTCACTAGGAGTTCTGCAAGATATTGTGATTAAAAATAAATAAACTTTGTGCACCATGAAATTCTAACACTCACAGTGGTGGGAATTTTTAGAGGTCACAAGTCGGCTTACTGATCATGCTAATGTACTGTCAGCTATAGATATAATTATTTTTATGCAGGGGTTATCTGAGACCTGATAATTATTTCAAGAGGTCCTCCAGGATAAAAAGGTTGAGAAATGCTGCTCTAACCTATCAAGTTCATTTTGAATTGTATTTATCTTATAAGGTATCAGCTATCCCATCAAATTATGTGTCATCTACAAATTTTATATGCATTCCTTCCACCTCTTCATTCAAATCATTAATGAAAATATTGCAGTAGAAGACTCAGGACCAACCCTTGTAGCATCCTATACCTCTCCAGTTAGATTAAATTAGGTGAATACTCTTTGTATATGATTTTTGAGCCATCTTCATATCTACTTGTCACATCACAGAAGTACAGTTTACAAATAACAGAGTGCAAGAGATTCTACTGATAAAATTCTGAGTGATTGCATGGGATAAGCAAAGATGATCTGAATTATATTTTCAGAATGCAAACATACTATTTTGGAGGATTATTTGGGGGAACTCTCAGCCTAATGTTTCATTCAGAAAGCTCCAGTTGTTGATTATTGAAGGACATTTTAATTTTTCACATTAAATATGTCATAAGGCCTGTCTTTTGTCTCAGGTCATTTAATGGCAAGTTTTGCTGGAAACTTTCATTGGCTATATTGGAATTGGCATCTGACACCCCTTATAAATTGGAGGGACTTAGGGTCCAATTATTGTGGAAATATGATATACTTCCTCTCTTTATATTATCCACCAGAAAAATCTGGTGTTTACTAGCATGCCAGCTACAATTTGAATATTTTGATTATGCTAATTAGCAATAAGGGAAATCCAAATTTGAAAACAGTGAGGTGATCTTTTTGTTGAAGAACATGTATGGAATGTGGAGTGTACACTTAAAATGAACTAGTAAGAACAGATGATAATGCTACTTAAACTGCAATATAAATACCACTTACCAAAAAGTACTGAACAGTAATCAAAACAGTTTTCGTCATCTAGATATGGACTGCCTTACATACTTCAGAACCTCCTTTATTTATTGAGAATTTACAACAAATAAGCCTTTCACAATTATTTATCAACAGGTCTTGGATTATGCTAAGTTAGTTATTCAAGAAGAGAGGAAGGCATGGAAAAGTGAATGGGCACATCCAATACATACACAGAATTTTGGGAGGCATC